GTGTGTGTGTGTGTGTGTGTGTGTGTGTGTGTGTGTGTGTGTGTGTGTGTGTGTGTGCGCGCGTGCATGTGCACATGCCTGCATGCACAGTTTTTAATGTGTCTCCTCCCCTTTATGCTCCAGCTTATGCCACTCCTTTTCCTTCCAGACCTCGAGGATCCACCAATCACACTGACATCCCGCACGTCTCGGATGCGCCACTCATCCCAGAGCGACGAGACTCCTCCCATCTCCTGTTCTGAGGTCTTCCAGGGTGGGGCTTGTGATCTGGATACCCCAGCCCCATCCTCCCTTGCAAGGAGCAGCAGTGCCTCTGACATCATGGAGCCTTTCATCACAGAGCGGGTCAAAGGTGAAGATCCCCAGAGGGATCCAAATTTGATCCCAAATCCTTCTCCCCATCACCACCACTCCACAACTTCTTCCTTACTCGTAACCAACAGCCACGCAGCTCAACCACCCTCACAGTCCCTCACCTTCTCTTCTCCCACCCCTTTTGCCTTCTCCAATGGTGCTGTTTCCTCGTCCTCAGAGGTAAAAGATGATGGTAGTGTGTGCGATCAATTCTGGCACCAAAGTGTCTCTCGAAGCCGAGGTTCTAGTTCCGATTGGGTGAGTGACTGGGACTCAGCCTTCGCCTTTCAACCTGAAAAGGAAGCTGATGCAGATGAGGGTGAAACTGGGGAAGATGATTTATTCTCTTCTATTAGGGACTACCTCATTAACAAAGAAGCTGAGAGGAAGGGCGAGACAGGCGAGAAAGATGGTCCCGGTCGAGCGGTAGAAAACAGCGTTGCTTTACCCGCACTCGTGCAAACAGGATTGGCAAGAACACAGTTAGAAAACAGAGGGCAGCTCGGAGAAGCAAAGCAGGTGGTAAGGGAGGTCAGACAGGTAAGTAAATCAGTGAGACATAGCAGTGTGGATTCTATTGAGGAGAATGAGGCAGAGCAGCCGAGTATCTATGAATGCTTGGAGCTGCAGTGTCAGTGGCCATCACCCAGTGCTAAGGTGGGCTCTAGTTTAGAAAGAACTACTGCTGAAAAGAAGGTTGTGGGAGGAAATAGTGGAAAGGCAACCGTTTTGGAAGGGAAATATGACTTATGGGGTGATACAGAAGAGAAACAAGATGATAAAGAAATGGCAGCAAATGACAAGTCCAGTTTAATTAGGCAAGATACTACTGTGGGTGAAGGAAGCAGTGAATCAGTTCCCCAAACTTCAGAACCCACTAAGACCAAGATGTCCCGTAGTAGCACTAAGAGGCATCATTCTGGGGGTGTCCATGTCAGTTTCCGGCCCTCAACTGAATCTGTCCAGTTCCATAACCCTCTTGAAAATAAGGAGGCCCACTGGAAAGCCCGGCTACGCCGGCTCAGTCACTTCCACACACACAGCCACTCGGCTGGAGAGAAACCTGGGGTTGGAGCTGGGGCAGGGTCAGGGGGGAAGCTGGGAACAGGGGGTTCAGGTAAGTTTGGCTCTGTGGCTGTTATCAGCCATAGAACAGGCGTACACGAGAAATTAGCATCTGGGACTATAACGGATAGCAGTGGGACAGGGGGCACAGCAGGTCTGGAAACCCGGTCTGGGACTGGAGGGGACAAAGACAAGCAGCATGCTGGATCCTGTGTGGGATCCAGTCATGGCCCAGAGGTTCACTCTGAGGTGTTGTCAAGCAGTTCAGGTTCCTCAGGAGTGCGCGGACGTTTAGGACGTTCCGCCTTGCGATCTAGAGCCTCCCGCTCACGCTCCCAAGAGCCAGGGAGCACTGCCTCACGGCACCACCAGGGGGCTCTTCTTGGTGGTGTTTATAAGACTGTGGTTCACGCTCTGTCGTCCAAGCCTCGGCCCCAAGGTCAGGGGTCATCCCAAGGCTCGTCGCCGCAGCGGCAGGCCCGGGCCACCATGGGTGATGCATCACTCAGGGATCTCTACTCCCATGTCCTGGGCTACTTTGGACGAAAGACGACTACGCCAGGTGAGGATCGCAACGAACGAAGTTCTCACAAAGGAAACAGCTGTGGAAAGACAAATACTCACCACCACACAAACACCAGCAACTTTCTTTTCTTTTTTGGCTGTTTTTTTTTTTTTTTTTTTTTAACTGGTTTGTTATGATGGAATGACATTTTTGGCTGAAACTCATCATCTTGCTGCTGGACTGAAATTCAAACTCCCTGTTGATGTGTTTCCTCTTGAACGTAGCCCCTCCTCCAGCCTGCCTCTTATCAAGGACCCTCACCCTCCTACTTCCCATGCCTTTCCACTTCTCTAGCTCAGAAGCTCCCTCCCTCCTTCTCCTTTCTGCTTCCTCTAAGGGTTTCGGGATTTTTAACCTTCTCACCTCCTTACCCTGTTCTCCACCTCCATCCTCACCTTGATGTTGCATGCAGCCTCCTCGTGCCTCCTTCGTCTCCTCCCCCGGACTCCGGCCCTTCTTCAGCTCTACAGAAGGAAATTGATCTACAGACAAGCACAACTGTCTGTAGAAAAAGAAAACAGCTGACATACACTATACTATTGAGAAAGATCCCAGATATTTTGTAGCACTTTCAGGCTTTGATTCATTGTTGTCAATCAAGGAATATCAGTGATTTTACAAATTGAGTGTAAGCATTTAGCTGTAGTTCATTCTCACACCACTAGAGTGCAGCATAAGACCCTTTGATAAATTGATTGTAGTAATCTAGACAGAATTTGAATGAATATAAAAAGGTATGCACTTTCAAATTGGTAATGGTTATTTGCCTTGGACACTGCTACAGCCTTTATCAGCTATGCTGAATGGTTAAGTGCACATTTGAATCAGCAGCACAAATGCCACCTTTTTCTGTTCATTCTAATCCTTGGTGCAGAAGTGAGGCTATTTTACCTTCGGGTTTGGATTTTTGATAAGAGCACAATGATTCATCACCTGAATCTGTCTTGATGTGGAGTTACTGTTGCAAAACCACTTTTTAAAATCACGTTCTTACATTATTCAGTAGTATTGCATGGCAGCTTGTGTCAAATAATATACTTGTTTGGTTTGTCTACTAATGTTCCAGATGTTTGAGGCCTGCATTATTTATTTGTTTATTTTTTTATTTAATTTTTTTTATTACAGTAAGGAAGAAATTGCATTTTATGGTAAATAAGCAATTTTGGGCATTCACGGTTTCACCTGGTACTTTTTTATACCAGATATTATATACTGTGGCTGGTTAAACTCAGATTAATGGTGCTTTTGCATAATCCACGAGCACACCCTTGTGCCACTTGACCACACTCTTTTATGGTTTGGTTGTGCAGAATTTGCATGACTGAACTGAGTCCATTAGAATGAGCTTGTGCAGTTATTGTAAACTCTCCACACTGAAGTCCTTAAAAAAAAAAGGGCTTTATTAGGTCTAGTGTGTTGCATCATTGTTACTGTATTTGTCCATTCACAGCAGCTGGTACTTTACTGAACTGCAGCATGATTGAGAGAAAGCTTGGAGTGCAGTGAGTCATTGGTAACTCTCCATGTAGAGTAATATATCCAGAATTGTTTTTATTTTTGGATCTCTTCGCTAAGAGTGTTGATCCAGTGGAGACAAGGTCATCCGTAGCTCTTATCTTATTGAGGTGATTTTGGTATCAGGTGCCAGACGACACACACTGCAATTGTTGAAATGACTCAACCGAATGGGCTGAACATGTGAAAAAAATCCACTAGAGATGAGTTGTCAAGTCTGTCAGATGGCATAGTCTGTGTAAGGTCAGCTCACAGCTTGTTTATGGTACTAATAGGGAATGCATTGTATATGTTAGCTTTAATGGTGCATTAATGAGACTAAAAACACTTTTCTTTTTCCTTCCATTTTGTGTTGCTATTGGTGATGTCATGGCAAATAACCATTACAGTAAAATATTATTTAACATCTGGGCAAGGGCACATGTCTGAATAACACACTAATTTTGCTTTTGAGTATTCAGGAATGATATCTGTAAGGCTTCAATAGAAGCAACATTAAGTTTACTTAAGTTCTCTCTGTACTATCACGGCCACAGTATTCTGATCCTGCTTAAATTTTTATGGTTGCGCTTACGTTACCTACTGCAGAGGTGGAGCAGATGATGTCTTTGGGTGATGTACAAGTGTACCTGCAGGGTATTCCCTTTTGAATTTTTCTTGTTCGGTGGTAAATTCTGTGTTAAATGTGGCACAGTAAATCATTTGGTTGTGGATTAAGCTTTATTGACGAAATAACTGGTATTCAGGGGTAGAAGCAACCAACTCACGCTGTCTTCTGTCAACCACAGGTGCAGACATTAAATATTAGTTAGTTAATACTGAAAGCAGCATATTTAATCCCATCTGACTTTGGGTTGGAGAGATGCACTCTATCAGAATTTATAAACTCCCACTGGTCGCTATTTTTGTATCCAAGCTAACAGCAGTATAACTCATAGTAACATAACTGCACTAATGTGGGCCTGTGGTATGCTGCTTGTTTGGAGCTAACAGTGTGATACTCTCTCTTGCTCTGTCTGCATGGTGTGTATTAACTCCTGCATTGCTTTCCTGGTGGTTATTGATGCGCCTGCTATTGTGGCTTTTCTTTATTTAAAAAATACAGTTTTAAATAACATTCAGGCCTACAGTATACACACACATCAGGACTGCTCTTAAATCATCAATTTTACCAGTTACTAGTTTGTTTTAGTGATATTGTGACATTTCAGTGTAACATCTGATCACTGTGCTTTAAATGGTGCTTTTAATGCTCTGTGGGCAATGTTGGGATTGCTGTTTCCTGATCAAAAACAAAATGTCACCATATCTTTGATTTTTAGATGTTTACAAAGATTATCAACAAGTCAGACCTGATGATAGTCATGTTACACAATTCCTTATTTCTTGGTATGTCTAAGTTTTCTATCATTGAAACTGTTTGCGTGGGTAAGCATCAGTCAAGCCCCTCTCAGGCATCTGCTCCTTTCTGTAAATGTGACAGCATCTGAGCAAGTCCTGTCTGAATGCACATCCTGGTCACTTTTTCATTAGAAAACTCAAGAAAAGACTTGAACTGTTAACTACCTAAAAACTGGATATTTATGCACCTTAAACATCATGGACAGCACAACAAATAAAACTTTGAGATGTCTTAATAACTTTAAAGGTGTGCATTGAAGTATTTTATTTTGAAAGTCCAGTTGCCGCTAACCAGCCAGGCTCGGCTCTGGTATGTAAATTTACTACCTGCTGGCTGGCCTGGGAATGATGTCATTCAGCTTCCTCTCCAGTGAGTCTCTTCCTGGATTTCCTTAAGAGCGGTTGTCAGCTGGACTTCAGGGTTGTGGAGTTGGAAGAGTGACTTGCCGGTGAAGCAGCTGCATGATGTTGAGGATCAGAATAGTGAGCTGGCCTGTTTGAAGATGGGGACAATGTCTGAATGGGTGTATGCTGTCACTTTAACAGGTTAATAGTTTTGTATACAATGTCTGACAGGGGCTTCACAATCTGTCTTTGTGTGTTTGCTTACTTATATGGCTCCCTATGCTTGTGAATGCTCATTGGTTTTTATCATTTCTGTGTGTGTGTGTGTGTGTGTGTGTGTGTGTGTGTGTGTGTGTGTGTGTGTGTGTGTGTGTGTGTGTGTGTGTTATAACCTTGTCTACCTCTGTGCCTCATTATGCATTTGTGTTTGTAGCCAATAAAGAGGAGGTGGTCCAGAAGGCCCGTCCAGTCTCCACTGATGTTGGAAGCAGCAACCCAAACTTCTCTGACCTCATGGATGAGTTTATCCAGGAGAGACTGAGGGCCAAAGGAACTTCAGTTAGTACAACACGCACGCTAATTTCAGATTGTGTCATAAGATGGAAGATACGAGCGTCACTTTCTCCTCTGTACACAGGGTCGCCGTGGCAGCAGCCCGGGAAGCCTGGAAGTTCCCAGGGATCTGCCAGAGCTCTTGGAGGCCAGTCATAGTCGTGATGGATCGCGACCCTTAGATGATCTTCGGCCTGTCGATGATCCGGGGGTTCCCTCTGAGTGGACGTCACCCGCTAGTGCCAGCGGTTCTGATGTCATCAGCTCCGACAGCCAGTCAGACTCCTTTAATGCCTTTCAGTACTCCACCTGCAAATTTGATAGTAAGGAACAAGATATGAGCAGTTTATTTATGCTGCACGGCACACATTTATCCTCTTTTTAAAACAATATTAAAGTATAAAACTGTTATCTTGTGCAAAACTTTTTATTAGTTCGTGTAAAATAGTTTTATGTTATTAAATAATCATTTTTTCTGCCAAGAGAGCAGAAAAACACAAAATTGAGTTTCTTTTTTTTAAGGTAAATTAATCTGTAGGAGTAAGCCATCTCATCTTCTGTTTAACTTTGAAGAAGTTTTTGTGAAGTGTTTAAAAATAATGCATCACAGTTTGTCAGGCTGCTGAAATTAAAAGAGGAAAATCAACAACTGTACAGCAATGATGACTTTTCTTTCTTTTGTAGATTTTACTTTTAGCTCCGAGGCGTCTGCAGGGGGAGCTGGATCTGCAGCAGGAGGGGGAGGAGGTCGAGGCAGCTCGCTGGATCAGGACAGTCTTGGTGGGGGCGTGGCCTGTGAAGAGCAGGAGGTGGCCAGTTTGACGACACTTCACATCGACTCAGAGACGAGCAGCCTGAGTCACACTGTCACGGTTACAGGTAGGGAAATAACAGACTTCAGCTCAATGCCTGCTCACCAGAACCCTTAAATACTGTGTTTTTATGCCATCTAAGGGGTTTTCCCAGTGCGTAATCTCCCAGTAGATTAAATGGGGGGGGGGAATATAACAAATATTCAGAAAACATCCCAAAAACTGTGAGAATTGACTCTAATAAAGATAAAAGAAGTTGAAATAAATAACGCTTATGTAACACTGATTTAACGCTTAAATAACGTTTGTTTATTTAGGAGCCATTTGATACAGTTTATCAAATTTTTTGGTAAACGCGTTGTAAATTAAGTCTATCTGAAATGTAGGTTCTTTGCGTCGATCATGCAAGCACACACACACACACACACACACACACACACACACACACACACACACACACA